TGCCCCATCAACCCATCGGAGGTGGGCAGTGTTGAGATGACAGCGGCCATTACTCGGGTCTACACTGTCCGACTTTCTGTCCCAGCTCCGCTTATTTCGCCCCATCCGCCTTTCGCACCTGTCCGGAAACGCGTACTCGGTGTTTGAAACACCACTGTTGACGAGTCTAGAGCTGTCTGTCCGGCGGTCCTCGTTATCTGCGTTCACACGCAACTGCGTTCAAACCAGCTAAGGATCACGTGCGTTTGCATTCCCTTCTTGGCCACCTTCGGCCTGCGTTGTGTCCACCATCCATTCACGTTCGCCCATATTCCCGCTTGGTTTGCATTCGTCCACGGTCGCGTTTGGTCTGACCTCCCACCCGCGATTCCGCTGATGGAACTGCACGCTCAAGGTTTGTTAAGTAATCGGGAGAAATATGCATCGATTGATGGAAGAATTTGCGGTATGCGTGGGCTTCAAGCATTCCACTGACTGGGTGCTCGTTCCCTCCTGCCAGGAGTTGGACGTCATGGAAAACAAAGGCGGATCGGGAGGGTGTGCAATGCTCTGCCACCAGCGCGAGTTGATCCATTCTTCTCATTGCTCTCGCGTGTTCACTCATGCGCGTCTGCAATCTTTTGTCGGTCTCCAGAGTAGTTAGCTTTATAACAACGGTAATGGAGAGCATAGGCGACGTTAATTATTCCGCCGTAGCTCTCATGGCCAGACGATGGAGGCTTGTTTGTCTTTGAAAACTCTGGACAATAATCGTATGGTTTCCATAATCACCTCGCCTTTCCTTACCCTGCTTCATATATACGACGGACCGACCGTCGATGGGGATGATGTTCACCGTGTGCTCCACTTAAAGGTGAAGCAGACACGGTGATTAGTTTAAAGTGGAAGTAGGCTTGCGCTGCACCTACCGCACTCTCTCCTCCTCCACCTGGACCCGGTGTCATGAGAGAGTCAAGAAAACCGGAGGCGGGGGAGGGCGCAGGGGGATGCCACGGCCGAGCCCGCACCTCGGCGTTCCACTCCGCACCTCCTGGTCCACACAACAAATGACCAGGTTTTTGACTAACAACGGCAGCGACAACACCCCAACAGGGATCGGAAGGACGAGGATAACTGGGCGGTCATGCCCATCACCTGTATGCCCAGCGGGAGCATACCAGGTGTCAGGGAATTGCCAACGCACACCATGCTGCGAAGGCCATGGTTTGCTGATACTGGCATAGCACACACTTTCAGACCTTTTGACCTTGAAGAGCGATACCTGACCCTGCATATAGCCTGGGCCGCCACCCTTCAAGGTTAGGTAACCAAATAGTCTTCGACTGAGAGCTACTACCCACAGAGTACACTCACTGTCTTCATGTACATGGGAGTGCCACAGATCGCTTGAGAAGGGGCCGTGACAGCCTGGCTCTCAACCCACCAGTCCACCAGTCCACCACTCCACACAACACACACACACACACACAACTGGGTAGGATGCGTGGACTGGGTTGGGACGTTGGTCGGCTACCTTCGGAGCCACGGCGCTCAACGCACCGTCTTCTTCTCAGATTCCGATCGCACATGCAGCAAGGGAGCCGCATGGTAAGGGGCTAAGACGCACACTTCCCACTTGCGCGCGAGGTGGCAGTTGGGTACTTGCGGTGGGTGATGTGGATTTTCGGTGAGATGCTGCTAGGGGAGGGTGCGATGGTGTGATGCAACTGAAGGTTGTCTACCGCAGGTTTTCGTGGACGCGCATGTGGCCTAATAGACAAATGAGGCGAATAAATGTGTGGTTGCAATGTGGATAGTAGAGGCGAATGCGGCGAGTGTCGGTTGGGGCTCCAGGCACTGGTTCGCCAGTCTCTGTGCGATGTATTCGCAAGTTACCGACCAGGCCGATGCCTGAGGGGCATGCACGGGGACAGTGTGGACATGAGAAGTTGCCAGTGTCAGTATCAGCTTCGGTGATGGTGACGGTGGAGCTGGTGGTGGTGGGCGTGCTGGGCGATGGGGCGTGGGTTGGGCTGCGCATCTTGGGTGTGCATGATGTACTGAGTGTGATAGAGCTGGCGACAGTGGGCGTGCTGGGCGGCGGAGTATGGGCGGGGTTAGGCATTGTAGGTATGCTGGATGTGCCAAGTGTGTCGGGACTGCGGTCAATTCCGCTCTCGTGGATACACATGTGACCGAATAAGCCCATACGGTGCATGAATGTGCGAGGGCAGTGTGAACAGTGGAGGCGGATGCGGCGGGTGTAGGTTGGTGATCCAGGCACTGGTTCTCAAGTCTCCGTGCGATGGATTCGCAAGTGGTCGACCAGGCCGGTGTGTGAGGTGAAGGTACGGTCGCACTGAGGACAAGTATCGATCAGGTCCTCTGCAATGGTGTTGACGGTGCTGGTATTGGTGTTTATTGGTGTGTCAGGATTGTGTGTGGTGATGATGGACATGGCAGACGTCACAGCGGCAGACGTTGAGGCAGTGGAGAAGTGGGATGGTAGTGGTTATTCGGGAGGGCGGCCAAAGATAAGAAAAATAAAGAATACCGTCACCCTGCCCGCTGACAAGGGGCGCTCGATGGTCGTCATAGATAAAACCGAATACTGAACCAAACCGTGAACCTACTGATGGACAGGGAATCTTATGCGCTTTCGGCTGCCGGCGAGTTCAAAAGCACGATAACATAAACAAGATGGTGGGCCAGTGCAAGAAAGCGGGCGCCCTCACGAGAAAAAAGGCACTGGCCGCGAAAGCCACTGATACGCGATGACACGCTTCTACGGCCTGCCCAAGGTACACAAGCCAGGAGTGCCCCTCCGCCCACTGGTTTCTTTACGTGGCCCTCCAACCTTTGGGCTGTCGAAGTGGTTATACCGGCGACTATGTTTCCTCATCAAGGACTTAGATTGGACAATGAAGTCGGCTGAAGAGTTTTTGACTCGCATACGACATCGTAAAGTGGAGGCGGACGAGGTGATGGTGTCCTTGGACGTGGTCACACTGTTCACTTCTATTCCATCCGGCCTGACCATCCACACTGTCGACGGTCTTCTCCGAGAAAAATACGACGAAACCGACCAACGGCTCAAGCGAGTGCTTATCATCGAGCTTCAAGAATTGTGTCTTAAGACCTTCTTCACACTTAATGGCCACGCATACGATCAGAAGAAGGGGACGCCGATGGGTCCGCCCCTGTCTGGACCAATTGCCGAAGCGGTTTTACAGAGGCTTGAGCAGTTGGTATTCAGATCATACCCTCGAAGTTCTGGGCCAGATATGATGACGACACATTTGTCATAATAGAAAGGAGCGATGTGCACGCTTTCAATGCATTGTTAAATTCAATCTTACCTGACTATGGAAGAAGAGGTCAACAATAAATTGCCCTTCCTAGACGTATAGGTCGCAAGGCTGGCAGGCGGGAATGTAAAGACTACAGTCTACCGTAAGCTGACGAACACTAGGCGCATCCACCACTTCAGAAGCAACCACCCCGTCGGTCACAAACACAGTTGGGTCAGGACCCTTTTTCAATGCGCCCAAACATACTGTAGCGATGACGACGAAAGGAAGAAGGAGGTGAAGTACTTACATACCATATTTGAAGCCAACGGTTGCCCGAAGTCATTTATACGCAAGTGTCTCGGGAAGCCCCACTCTGGGCAGTCGAGCGAGGAGAAACCAAAATTTTGGCTCTTGATCCCCTATGCGTAGGAACATTTCAGAGGCGACTTGCAGAATCCTGAAACCTTTTGGGATTGGTGTGGCCCATAAACCAGCATCAACGATCGGACAGCAGATCATGAGGCCCAAAGACCCGCTGCCAGTGCGAGAATAATTAGCGGTGGTCTACAGCATACGATGCCAAGATTGTGGAGTAGGATATGTTGGTGAGACGGACAAACGCCTCGACACTAGATTGCACGAGCACCAGCTTGCAATCAATCGCAAGGATAAGCTGTCGCTGGTCTATGGCCACACACTACAGCAGAGCCACAGTTTCGCCTTCGAGAAAACGAGGGTGGTCGGCCGAGCCAATGATAAAATGGCCAGACTGATGCTGGAAAGCTGGTCCTCGACTGGCACGCTCAACCGGGCCATAGACCTACATTCCGCCTACCAGGCGCTCCGCACAAAGCTCGAGTCAACCCAGACAGGGTCAATGGGACGGATGAAAATAGCCACACGGGGTCGACTGCAGACGCTCGCGGCTAACGAAGGTGTGGCGACTAGCCATCCTGACTGGTTTGACGTCATTGTTCAAGACCTCGCTGCCTCAAGGTCATTCATCCCTTGCAGCGAGCCGTTCCAGGCGAGCTGACCTGAAGTCACGCGACCAACAGCTCGGTCATACCTGCGTCCGCGCAGTCGCAGCTGCCCATGCGGCCACTTGAACGCGCCACCCCCTGCAACCAGCAAAACTAGCCACTGGGACACCACCCCTCGGCAAATGCAACACACACCGACTGGAGACCACTTGAACTTGGCCCACGAGCCTACAAAAGCGGCAGCCACCACTGTCTCAGGGACTCTCAGGCCTGACTGGACGCAGTCAACACCATCCCTGGCGTTGCCAGTGGCCACTGCCGCCTGAGAGGACAACACCGGGTTCTGTGCACAATAAACCCCTCATTCTGGCGCCTACCGTCTCCTCCTTCCAACACTAGGATCTGATTTGACGATTGTAGCTCACATGCTACACATTAGCACCGCCTGGTAACGACAAAGGCACTGACCGAAAGTCACGTGGCCGGCATGGCACTGTCTCACGGACGTACCCGCGAGGCCGAAAACGCCACGCCAGAGCAACAACGATCGGTCTGACGAGGGGGAGGCCGACGGGCGCGCCGACGAGAAGAAGCGATCTCGGGAACCGTGGTTGTATTGTCCTGACGTTTCAAAAACTAACAAGCTTTCATCGTCAGAGGTGAGTATCGTACGGCGTCACACAGTACTTTTAGGGGGAGGGATGACAGTCATGTTAACACGGTGTTTATTAGGCGGGGGGAGTCGCTAATCGGCTTTGGCGCTGATGGCCCGCATATGCACGGGGGGCGTCCCTGTAGGCGCCGGAGCAGAGCGGGAGGGGAGGTGACTGCTGTCAATCGGCTTGTCTCTCGTCGGGGGCGGCATTTGAACGTTGGTGGCCATCGCCCGCATTCGCGTTGACCTTAATTGCCGCCCTGGGTTGTTAGTCTTGATCGCATCCCTCTGACCGCGTTTCTTCCCGTCTGCCGGAGTAGTGGTTGGGGCAGCAGTATTGATGGCTGAACCTTCGTCGGGCCCAATTCGCGGTGTGGCTATGTGTAGGCTCATCGTAGGTTCTCCCGTGTTTGGATTCACGTCTGGCCTAACTTCGCGCTTGCTCTTTCGTTCGTTGATCTGCATCCGGGGGGCTTGGTAGGCTGCCGGAATGGTGACACAATGGTTTATTGAGGTGGCCTCCGTGTGCCAGGCCTCGATTGTTTCCCTAGCTACGCGGTCATTGCCTCGATCCAGAATTTTGGCGTTCCGGAAGGCGAAAGTGTGTCCAGAGTCCGCGCAGTGTTCCGCCACCAGAGACAATGGGTCAATTCTCCTCACTGCCCGCATGTGTTCGCTAACACGGGTTTGTAACCGTCTGCCTGTCTCGCAGAAGTAAGTAGCTTCACAAGAATTACAGCGAATCCGGTAGATGACATTTTTCGTCTCACCCCCTGGCAGGGTGGCCTTCGGTCTCATAACTAAATGTCCAATGGTTGAGTCTGGTCAATGAGCGATTCCGATCGCCAACGGTCTTAGGAGGCGGGAAACTGCCTCAGAGACGCCGTCAATGTATAGCAGTGCACGCCAAACTGTGCTGTCACACGATTTTGGCCTGGTTTAGACTGCCTGCTGCGTTCGACGAAGTTGCGGGGGTATTCGCTGGCCACGAAAAGGCACCATTTGAGGTCACCAAACACCATTTACGCACCAGGGGAGGCCCACTGAGGATAGTAATTGATAGCCCTGTCAGGAGTGAGCGAGAAGGACCTATTTAAACCGTACAGTTCTCATATTTCCTATCTCCGATGATGCGCTCGAGTATGAGTGTGAAACGTCAGATGAGTAAGCCATCATCCCCAGAGCTCACCATATAATTTTCTTCACTAAGTGATTCACTGGAGTGGCAGTCAGCTACCTATCTGCGTAACTCTTACAGAAAATCCGAGACATGAAAACTTGCGTGGCATTGTTTACACCCAGACAGCAGTTTACTTCGCTTTCCGCTTTGCTTAACCTTTGCGGCGGTTATTCCTCCGATATGGCCAATCAAAACTCCGGTGAGAGGTTTGAGTGCGTTTTCGGTCTTCTAAACAGGGCGCAATTAGGAACTGTCCTAGTGTGCTGCTAAGCACTTTCTATGCTTGGAAAGTAAATAGTGGGAAGCACTATACTGATTTCGCAAAGTCACTGTTTTATGGGTAAATGAAAGGACCCAACAATAGAGGAAGAAAAGAAAAGGTGGAATTTTTTGCCCATTTGCGAGTTTGTCGCTTTGACATTTATGCTAAGGGGTCCCAAGGTCGATTCCCACTTTAAAACAGGGCTAATAAATTCATTGGTCTCTTTAGAAATCGAATTTGAAGATATTTTTTACATAGGAAATCCTCTTGGTTTTCCGTTTAGCATTCTCTAAATGCCACAGAACTTATTAAGACTGCAACATTAGTACAGGCAAACGGAAACTTGATGGGAGGGTTGATTCACATATTTCTCGACGAGCAGAATACCTATCACGAACCGAGAAACCACCAGATTGATTGTTTTCTTCCATCTAAGATATTAGGCTGAAACATAAATCTTTGGAAATTTTGGTTAATTCGAATGAAAGTCAGCCGCGTAATTCCGCCTAGTCCGTATGATGGTAATTACCTCATTCAAGTTCTCTGTGGCTGCACACCGTTGTGCATGTAAAAGCCTGCTAAAGCGATTTGAAGGAGGAATGAAAGATGAGAAGCGTAGAAGGCAGTGGGGCAGCAAAGATGGTTGTTTTGAGGTGACGGAAAGCACTTATGCAGTTCACGGTCAAAAGTGATAATAGGCAAAAATGTGGTGTGAACGCCTTCAGTAGGTATGAATCCGCTCGCAGGTTTTTACAATAACTGCTCTGGTCTTATCCCGCGTTCTAAGACGGTCTGATGTCAACCTATCGCTTAATGTATTTTTACTGTGGATTGAAAAGCATACTACGCCTGAAATAAACACTGCATAGTGTCCGAAGGACGTCTGGCCATCAGCAGCTCTCCGCAAGAAGGCTTACTATGTTACCGAATTAAGAGTTGATCGATGAAACGAGCACAAATTTATCGTCTAAATGAACCTTCAAAAGTTGAGATTATCTACCCAAAACTAAGCTTAAGGGCAGGGATTGGACGGTCGTATAATATCTTTGTGAATAACCCAACTGTAAATCTACTAAACTGAAATGCTTTTTTCTCTGTTGTGTAATTCATGATTATATTTTTCAATCGGTGTACATGGATACATAACTTTCACAAACCGGTGACCGAAACATACGATATTATACACTTCGAGAGGAAGCCTCTGCCTTGGATCTCCTGACTATGTATACTCACTCTGTCTGTTTAAATCTACAGACGCCGAAATAAAATGCTTTAGAGATTGAACCTATCCTAGACCGTGAATAATCGGTAAAACTGATTGTCGGGACCCATTCTAAGTACGTTAACAAAAACCGAGTTTAAACGGAAGTGAAGATATCAGAAGGAACTACAGTTCTGTAGCTAATAGTCATAGTATATCATAAAACTTTAACCATTGGGTCCCTGTGTATTTTCTAAATTTAGTTAAAAATCAACGGCGCTCATTTCTTTCGCAGCCAGTAATTTACTAACTTTTGAAGTTTTCCTCGTTAAACCAAAAGCCTTATTCTCATGTTAATCTGTCCCTATTGTTGCCGTCACTCTTCATATTACATGTTGCAACATTATGCTTAAGCAAGGTTCTGACATTTTTAGCAGTTTCAGCAAAGACTATCAAAGAGCCTTCTGTTAAAAACAGCACTTGTTTAAACGGCTAAAAGCACGTGGTAAGTGTGGCTCAAAGTTCTAATGCCTATGGGATTATTTTATGGCTATTTAAGTCAGTTATGCAAATGAAAAACTTGCCTTTGAAGTCCCCCAGGTTAATGGAATAAAAATATAAATATTTTCTCGCCAGTTTGGGAACTTTAGTGCAATGACACCTAGTTCACTGATACTATCGGTCAAAAAGAACTAAAATTGGCATACTCAATAGTTGAGTTCAGGTAGGAATGAAAAATCTTAAAACATGCGCTTCGGTGCATTCACTCTAACAGGCCAAAAGTCAGCGTTGTGGTGAACAGTTCTCTAAATTAAATTAGTCTCCCACCAAAGAGTACCAATAGCCAAAGTTGGCAAGTGGATCCAACGAGTCTAATTAAGTCATGAGATATTTAGCGGCCTTTCGAAACTACTTACATTTTTCCGATTTGATTTCCCTGCCGCTACATTCTAGATGTACACTCACCTTCCACACGGCTACTGAGAAAGTGCACGACAATGGCCCAAAATTTCCAATATAGTTGCTTTTTGATGTTGCTCCTACACCTCCAGATTCTCAACCGACGTAGTGTCCTACATTCAAGCGTTTTTGTTTATTTGTTTAAATGTAGTTTTAAAAATATTTTCGGTACTCCTAAAGGCTCAGTCAGTAAGGACAAATAAATCTTGTGAGTCCTTTGTCCAACAAATTAAGCTTTTTAAAAGGAGCAAACCACATTCCGTGAGATATGATTTTATATATAACCTGCCAGGGAGATTGTTTATAACTAATCGACATTCTTCGATCAGTTCTACTACGAATCTTAGATGCACTTGTTACTTTACTTTGATCTGTTTTTTTACGGAAGAAAGGACTAACATTTATTGAGAAAAAGTGGATTTAGGGCAAATTCGTCGGCGGGGGGAAATCATTGGCCTCGTTGATAGTTGACCACTTTTGCCGTCTATGCTGCGACAATGATGCGGCTATTAGGCAAGCAGTTAGTTACATCTGGTGGAGTTAATTTGAGGGATCGCTACAGTGTTGCCAGTAATCATTAGCAGGGCCTTTAGAGACCGTTTCGGGTATTCAGCATTTTGGTTAAATGTGAAATTGGAAAACGTGTCTTCAGACAGGGCTCTACACATGCCTATTTGTGGGCGGTTAGTAAATTATACGTGTCTTTCGCGTAACGTAGCATGAGCTTCAAGACAGCTGGTTTACGTGCAGAAATATCGACTCTAGTCTCTTTGCTCGGAGAATATGCCCTAAATTTTACCACTGATGAGTACGAGTCCCTAAGTAGGTTTTCAGGAATATGCACAAAAACTATTAATTTTTATTACATTACCACAAAAAACAAAAGATACTATACCGATTTTAGTGTCTACAATGCGATAAAAACTTCATTCATGAGCGGTTGGATGCACGGACCAAATGTCAGAAGTGTCCCTTCTGTCGTCAAGTTTCACAGGAAGCTTCATTACAGTAAACAAATGGTCACAACTCAGGGAAGGAACTCTATTCTGCTTGGCGAACAAATGTCGTTTCTATGCAAACTTTGAATAAAGTCGAAAGTTTTAACAATTGCGCTTGCGTCTTTTGTGTTCTTTGTTGAGTCTGGATTCAGAGACGAATTCGAGAGACACGTTTTCGGACGTTTCGATTTTCCCAATTTAGTCTATTTGATAATTATTCAGTCCAACTGATGTAGCCAAGTTTTTTACAATTATTTTGCCAAAACATCCATTAAATGGCTAATCCTGTGTGTATTTCCAATTGCTCATTTGGCCAGGTTGACATTTGTTTGTTACAGGGGGTCTTCTGTCCTCGATCCAGATGTAATTGGCGTTCACTTTGACCTACGCAACCCTGACGGAAATCGAGCCAACAAAGACTTAATTGCACTCTGTAGAATTTTGTTGGCCCATGAAGGAAGGACCATATTGTGAGCTTATTTGGCGTCGATTAAGAGGTCATGTTTGACGGTTTTCGAATTCATAGATGAAATAAGTGAAGGATATGCTGCATTCCCTGCAGCAACCTGTTTGTATTTCGGGTAGCTCTGGGGTGGGGGCAGCACGCTTTGTTCATAGTCAAATTCGAAACGCAGACTATGGAACTCTTTACTTGGTCGTAGAGCGAAAGATTATCGCGAAGGCAACAACTGAGACTGCGTGGCAATCATTGTGGATTTACAGGGCGATTTGGAGCTTCAGTATCTAGGTACTTCGCCGATGCGCTTCTGTTAACCGGATTGCATTAAGTTCACGCTTTATGCAAACATCCGTGTTAGCTAAATGTTTAAAACAGCGTTCACGCAATGTAGGCCATAGAATTTCACAGAGCTCGCCTTATTACCGAATTTCAAAATGAGTCCAGGGATTATCCGGCTCCAGTAGTATCGAAGAAGAGGGGAGTCCTGTGTTTGAAGCGATGTAAACTGCTTTTGAGAGATAAACAGGTCGTGCGCAGGGAGTCAAATGGCCATAAGGCACCCGACGTTCCATGTGAGCCTTAAAGTTGGACCAACAGTGGAACTATCA